TGATGTGTGTTAAGTTTCGAGAAAATCGGTTCAGATTTAGATATAGCTCCCATATATATTTTCGTCCGATTTAATGTAAATGGTATACCAAAGTCCCTATATATCTTTCGATTTTCACGAAATTTGGCACAGCGTAATGAATTAGGTCTAGAATGATGTGTGCTAAGTTTCGTGAAAATCGTTTTAGATTTAGATATAGCCCCCATATATATTTTCCTCCGATTTTATGTAAATGGTGCACAAATTTCACTTTACTGGTCTTTTAAAACGACGACGTCTGTTAGGATTCATCTATTGAATATACCCAAAGTGGTGAAGGGTATTATATAGTCGGCCCAGTCCGACTTTACTACTTTCCTTACCGGGTTAAATATCTGCAAGTGCCATAAGCAGGTGAGGATTTTTTTAGAAATATTTTTTAAAAATTTAAATTTTAGAGGGCGGATTTTTAAAAATAATTTTTTGCTATTCCAAATCATTTTTTCAATTGCATATTATTTTACTACAGTGCTCGTTCGATATTTTCTTCAAATCGAAATAAGGCCAAATTCAAAATGCCATAAAAATATTCCACTCATTTTTTTTTTTTTTTTTTAATTTTGGCACGTGCCATGTGTTTATTTTTTGCTCACATTTGTTTATATTCTGACATTCTGATATTATATCAGCTAATATCGCTGCTACCGCTACAGCCGTTGGAAACATGTATTGTGGAACTTGTTGAATATGCCATAGAAAGCCAGGTGAACTAAACTGTAGACATGTTCTCCATATTAATCTGAATTTACTGGCCATTTGCCATTTGTGAAACAAAAACAACAACATGTGGTGTGGTTGTTTTTCGTTTTTGGAATATGAATTCGAATTTGAATTAATTATTAAGAATAATAATAATTATAATGAGAAAGGTACCCTGCATTGAGATTTTTTCTTGGATTAAAAAAAAATCTTAAAAAAATTATTTAAAAAAAAATCATTTCAAACTAAGTTTGGCTGGGCGGAACTTTTTACAATTTTTTACGATTTAACCCACTGTGCGCAAGTCGGATATAAACAATCAATTCACTAAAAATACTCTTTTCCACAGATTTTCATTCAGTGCAACAGTGCCGCTTAGTATTGCCGTCTTCTATTTTTTCTCCTTTCAATTTTACACATGATTTCGAACAAACCGACCATCAATCACAATTCTGATACCAGAAATTTCTCAAAATCACTGATAAAGTGGATGGAAAGATGCACCCGACGACATTCACTGTCGAGAGTTCCGAATGAGTGATTGGTGTGGTGTTGGAAGAAAACTCTCGAACTGGAAACCAGTTCAAAGGGCACATAAAGTTGACGGAGATTCAATGTCAGCTAATGTGTGGTTGTTGTTGTTTGAACCTGACCTACGATAATCTGTGTGTTATGTTTTCATATGAAGATGCTGACACACAAACACAACATGTTCGGAGTGCAGGTTATTCGGGTGTAGATGAAGATTGATTGTGGATTAGTTGACGAATGTTCTGGAAGCAATATTCGTGGAGGTTTGAAGAAAAAATTATTTAAAAAATCTACACCTTGGATAGGCCTTGAAAAAGGTCTTGGAAAAAATTATTTAAAACATCTACGCCTTGGATAGGCCTTGAAAAAGGTATTGGAAAACATTATTTAAAACATCTACGCCTTGGATAGGTCTGGGAAGGCCTAGGAAAAAATTATTTAAAAAATCTACGCCTTGGATAGGTCTGGGAAGGCCTTAGAAAAAAATTATTTAAAAAATCTACGCCTTGGATAGGTCTGGGAAGGCCTTAGAAAAAATTATTTAAAAAATCTACGCCTTGGATAGGTCTGGGAAGGCCTTAGAAAAAATTATTTAAAAAATCTACGCCTTGCATAGGTCTGGGAAGGCCCTAGAAAAATTGATTTAAAATATATACGCCTTGGATAGGTCTGGCAAGGCATTAGAAAAAATTATTAAAAAAACTACACCTTGGATAGGTCTGGAAAAAAAAAATATTTAAAAAATCTACGCCTTGGATAGTTCTGGGAAGGCCTTAGAAAAAATATTTAAAAAATCTACGCCTTGGATAGTTCTGGGAAGGCCTTAGAAAAAATATTTAAAAAATCTACGCCTTGGATAGTTCTGGGAAGGCCTTAGAAAAAATATTTAAAAAATCTACGCCATGGATAGTTCTGGGAAGGCCTTAGAAAAAATATTTAAAAAATCTACGCCTTGGATAGTTCTGGGAAGGCCTTAGAAAAAATATTTAAAAAATCTACGCCTTGGATAGTTCTGGGAAGGCCTTAGAAAAAATATTTAAAAAATCTACGCCTTGGATAGTTCTGGGAAGGCCTTAGAAAAAATATTTAAAAAATCTACGCCTTGGATAGTTCTGGAAAGGCCTTAGAAAAAATATTTAAAAAATCTACGCCTTGGATAGTTCTGGGAAGGCCTTAGAAAAAATATTTAAAAAATCTACGCCTTGGATAGTTCTGGGAAGGCCTTAGAAAAAATATTTAAAAAATCTACGCCTTGGATAGGCTTTGGAAAAAATTATTTAAAAAATCTACGCCTTGGATAGGCTTTGGAAAAAATTATTTAAAAAATCTACGCCTTGGATAGGCTTTGGAAAAAATTATTTAAAAAATCTACGCCTTGGATAGGCTTTGGAAAAAATTATTTAAAAAATCTACGCCTTGGATAGGCCTTGGGAAGGCCTTAGAAAAAATTATTTAAAAAATCTACGCCTTGGATAGGCCTTGGGAAGGCCTTAGAAAAAATTATTTAAAAAATCTACGCCTTGGATAGGCCTTGGGAAGGCCTTAGAAAAAATTATTTAAAAAATCTACGCCTTGGATAGGCCTTGGGAAGGCCTTAGAAAAAATTATTTAAAAAATCTACGCCTTGGATAGGCCTTGGGAAGGCCTTAAATTATTTAAAAAATCTACGCCTTGGATAGGCCTTGGGAAGGCCTTAGAAAAAATTATTTAAAAAATCTACGCCTTGGATAGGCCTTGGGAAGGCCTTAGAAAAAATTATTTAAAAAATCTACGCCTTGGATAGGCCTTGGGAAGGCCTTAGAAAAAATTATTTAAAAAATCTACGCCTTGGATAGGCCTTGGGAAGGCCTTAGAAAAAATTATTTAAAAAATCTACGCCTTGGATAGGCCTTGAGAAGGCCTTAGAAAACATTATTTAAAAAATCTACGCCTTGGGAAGGCCTTAGAAAAAATTATTTTAAAAATCTACGCCTTGGATAGGTCTGGGAAGGGCTTAGAAGAAATTATTTTAAAAATCTACGCCTTGGATAGGTCTGGGAAGGGCTTAGAAGAAATTATTTTAAAAATCTACGCCTTGGATAGGTCTGGGAAGGGCTTAGAAGAAATTATTTTAAAAATCTACGCCTTGGATAGGTCTGGGAAGGGCTTAGAAAAAATTATTTTAAAAATCTACGCCTTGGATAGGTCTGGGAAGGGCTTAGAAAAAATTATTTTAAAAATCTACGCCTTGGATAGGTCTGGGAAGGGCTTAGAAAAAATTATTTTAAAAATCTACGCCATGGATAGGTCTGGGAAGGCCTTAGAAAAAATTATTTTAAAAATCTAGGCCTTGGATAGGTCTGGGAAGGGCTTAGAAGAAATTATTTTAAAAATCTAGGCCTTGGATAGGTCTGGGAAGGGCTTAGAAGAAATTATTTAAAAAATCTACGCCTTGGATAGGTCTGGGAAGGCCTTAGAAAAAATTATTTAAAAAATCTACGCCTTGGTTAGGTCTGGGAAGGCCTTAGAAAAAATTATTTTAAAAATCTAGGCCTTGGATAGGTCTGGGAAGGGCTTAGAAGAAATTATTTAAAAAATCTACGCCTTGGATAGGTCTGGGAAGGCCTTAGAAAAAATTATTTAAAAAATCTACGCCTTGGATAGGTCTGGGAAGGGCTTAGAAAAAATTATTTAAAAAATCTACGCCTTGGTTAGGTCTGGGAAGGCCTTAGAAAAAATTATTTAAAAAATCTACGCCTTGGATAGGTCTGGGAAGGCCTTAGAAAAAATTATTTAAAAAATCTACGCCTTGGATAGGTCTTGGATAGGCCTTGGAAGAAATTATTTAAAAAATCTATGCCTTGGATAGGTCTCTGAAGGCCTTAGAAAAAATTATTTAAAAAATCTACGCATTGGATAGGTCTGGAAGGCCTTGGGAAAAAATTATTTACAAAATCTACGCCTTTGATAGGTCTTGGAAGGCCTTAGAAAAATTATTTAAAAAATCTACGCCTTGGATAGGTCTGGGAAGGGCTTAGAAAAAATTATTTAAAAAATTTACGCCTTGGTTAGGTCTGGGAAGGCCTTAGAAAAAATAATTAAAAAAATCTACGCCTTGGATAGGTCTGGGAAGGCCTTAGAAAAAATTATTTAAAAAATCTACGCCTTGGATAGGTCTGGGAAGGCCTTAGAAAAAATTATTTAAAACATCTACGCCTTGGATATGTCTGGGAAGGCCTTAGAAAAAATTATTTTAAAAATCTACGCCTTGGATAGGTCTGGGAAGGCATTAGAAAAAATTATTTCAAAAATCTACGCCTTGGATAGGTCTGGGAAAGGTCTTGGAAAAAATTATTTAACAAATCTACGCCTTGGATAGGCTTTGGAAAAGGTCTTGCATCGAAATATTCCCTTTTTTAGTTTCATAATTTTGTTTAGTGAATTTCTTCCAATATGTCGACTATACCCTGTACCCTGAGCCCCTCCCAAGACCCTTCCTATACATTCGCCTAATCTAATTTGTAATCTCTTGGCAAAGCTTTGTAATGAAACCGATGACACCCTCATAGTAAGACGTAGCAATAGGTTTCTTTGTTTACGACGACGACAACAACAACAATAATAACTACAACAACATTGTTACAATAGCAGATTAATAAACAATAAAAATTATTTAAATATTTACGTGACGGTTTTTTGTTTATTTCTGTTTCCAGATTTGAGCAGCTCAACTGAAAAACACTGCCCAAAACAAAATGAGTCCACCAGCATTGTTGAGTAAAGAACTGCCGGATATTGAGGTAAATTGGAGATTCTACAAATTATAAAAAGCATTGACTAATAAAGAAGTTTTCTCACTTTTTCAGAATCTTCTCAGTCTGAATCCACGTGTCAAGACCAAATGTTCTGTGGTGCCGACCACTGAGACCAAAGTCAACAAGAAACACTGGAAGCGTAATCCAGATCGTAGCTGTGCGGCTGGTCCCAAATTGAATAACAATTTCGAAGATATCAAACACACCACACTCTCAGAGAGAGCCGCTCTCAAAGAGGCGGCCCGCTGTTTGAAATGTGCCGACGCTCCCTGTCAAAAATCCTGCCCTACCCAATTGGACATTAAGAGTTTCATTACCAGCATTGCCAATAAAAATTATTATGGCGCCGCCAAGGCTATCTTCTCCGATAACCCCTTGGGTTTGACCTGCGGTATGGTATGCCCCACCAGTGATCTGTGTGTTGGCGGTTGTAATCTACAGGCGTCCGAAGAGGGTCCCATTAATATTGGCGGCTTACAGCAATATGCCACAGATGTGTTTAAGCAAATGGGTGTGCGTCAGATTGTCCCACCGGGGATTAAGCCACCAAAGCAGATGAATAAAAAAATTGCCCTCTTGGGTGGTGGTCCGGCATCGTTGTCATGTGCCACCTTCTTGGGACGTTTGGGTTATAAGGATATTACGATCTATGAGAGACGTTCCTATTTGGGTGGTTTAAGTTCATCGGAAATTCCCCAGTATCGCCTGCCCGTGGATGTGGTGAATTTCGAAATTGATTTGGTTCGTCATTTGGGTGTGAAATTTGTACTGAATCGCAGTTTGTCGACGAAGGATATTACTGTGAAGGTAAGTTTGGGGAATATTCTGGCAACAGAGTGGTGAATAAAATATTAAAAGAGGTGAATAGAAAATTAGAAAATATGTGAATGAAATATTCTCAATGGTGAATAGAATATTCACAGGGGTGAAAAGAATATTCACATTGGTGAATAGAATATTCACAGTGGTGAATAGAATATTCACAGTGGTGAATATAATATATCACAGTGGTGAATAATATATTCACTATGGTGAATAATATATTCACTGTGGTGAATAGAATATTCACAGTGGTGAATAGAATATTCACTGTGGTGAATAGAATATTCACAGTGGTGAATAGAATATTCACTGTGGTGAATAGAATATTCACAGTGGTGAATAAAATATTCACAGTGGTGAATATAATATTCACAGTGGTGAATATAATATTCACAGTGGTGAATATAATATTCACAGTGGTGAATATAATATTCACAGTGGTGAATAGAATGTTCACAGTGGTGAATAGAATATTCGCTAAGGTGATTAAAATATTTACCATTTGTGAATATGGAGAATAGAATACTCAATATGGTTAATAGTATATTCAAAGTGGTGAATAGAATATTCACAGTGGTGAATAAAATATTCACTGTGGTGAATAGAATATTCACAGTGATGAACCGAATATTCACTGTGGTGAACCGAATATTCGCGATGGCGAAAAAGTAATCACAGTGCTGAATATTTCATATTTCCATTACCCACCTTAGTAATGTGCACCACTAAAGTCATTTTATTCACCACATTAAAAATTACATTTCCCCACATAAAACTGTAAATTCCGCATCAACATTCATTTTTTTAATTTATCCCAACTTCGGTATTTTTCAGGACCTCTTGGCCTCCGATCATGCCGTCTTCTTAGGTATTGGCTTGCCAGAACCCAAATTGAATCCCGTTTTCAAGGGTCTCGATGAATCGATGGGTTTCTATACCTCCAAGAGCTTCTTGCCCAAGGTTGCCGATGGCTCCAAACCTGGTCTATGTGCCTGCAAAGCTTCGCAAGCTCTGCCACAACTCCATGGCAATGTAATCGTCTTGGGTGCTGGTGATACAGCCTTCGATTGTGCCACTTCCGCTTTGCGTTGTGGTGCCAAACGTGTTTTTGTCGTATTCCGTAAGGGTACATCCGGCATTCGTGCCGTACCCGAAGAGGTGGAATTGGCCCGTGAAGAGAAATGTGAGTTCATGCCCTATTTGTCACCACGCAAGGTATTGGTCAAGGATAACAAAATTACCGGTATGGAGTTCTGCCGCACAGAACAAAATGAAAATGATGAATGGGTAGAGGATGAGGAGCAGATTACCAAATTGAAGGCCAACTTTGTTATCTCCGCCTTTGGTTCGGGTCTTTATGACACGGAGGTAATTGAAGCCATGGCTCCCGTGGAATTGGACAAATGGTCTATGCCTAAGCTGAATATGAAGACATTGCAAACATCGGTGCCACAGGTGTTCTGTGGTGGTGATTTGGCTGGTGCTGCAGATACCACCGTGGAATCGGTTAATGATGGTAAAATTGCCGCCTGGAGCATGCATTGCTATTTGGAGGGTCTGCCCATGGACACCCCCGCCGATTTGCCTTTGTTCTATACGGAAATTGATAATGTCGATTTGTCGGTGGAAATGTGCGGTATTAAATTTGAAAATCCGTTCGGTTTGGCTTCAGCACCTCCCACCACAAGTGCCGCCATGATTCGTCGGGCCTTTGAGCAAGGATGGGGTTTTGTGGTTACCAAAACCTTTGGTTTGGATAAGGATTTGGTTACCAATGTTTCGCCACGTATTGTCCGAGGTACTACGGCTGGGTATAATTATGGTCCCCAACAGGGTGCCTTCTTGAATATTGAATTGATTTCGGAAAAGAAATGTGAATATTGGTTCCGAGCCATTGCTGAGCTGAAGCGGGATTTCCCCACTAAAATTGTGATTGCTAGCATTATGTGCCAATACAATGAAGCGGATTGGACGGAATTGGCCACTAAAGCAGAGGCATGTGGTGCCGATGCCTTGGAATTGAATTTATCCTGTCCCCATGGTATGGGTGAATCTGGTATGGGTTTGGCTTGCGGTCAGGATCCTGTATTGGTTGAGAATATTGCCAAATGGGTACGCAAGGCAGTGAAGATCCCCTTCTTTGTGAAATTGACTCCCAACATTACGGATATTGTGGCCATTGCTATGGCTGCGAAGCGGGGTAATGCTGATGGTGTATCGGCTATAAATACCGTCCAGGGTTTGATGAGTTTGAAGGCAGATGCCACCCCATGGCCTGCAGTGGGTGCTGAGAAGAAAACCACCTATGGTGGTGTGTCGGGTAATGCCACCCGGCCTATGGCTTTGAGAGCTATATCGGCAATTGCCAATAAGCTGCCTGGTTTTCCAATTTTGGGTATTGGTGGTATTGATTCGGGAGAGGTTGCCTTGCAGTTCCTGCATGCCGGTGCCACTGTCCTGCAAGTTTGTTCGTCGGTGCAAAATCAAGATTTCACTTTGATTGAGGATTATTGTACGAGCTTGAAGGCTTTGTTGTATTTGAAGGCCCATCCACCACCACACAATGCTCCATTCTGGGATGGTCAATCACCACCAACACCCAAACATCAAAAGGGTAAACCGGTGTTGCATTTGACCGGGGAGGGTAATAAGGTAAGATTCCGCAAATACTGATATGATAAAAAGAAAATAAAATATTGCAAATTTTGTTATTGGTTACAGACCTTGGGCTTCTTTGGTCCTTATCTCAAGGAACGTGAAGAGAAAATGGCCAAATTGCGTGAGGAAAAGGGGCCCATCTGGAAAATCTCGGGAGATGATGATGAGGAGGAGGTTAGCAGTAATGGCCAAAATGGTGCAACAACAAATGGTTCAACTCAAGTTCCCAAGGTCAAGGATATTATTGGCAAGGCTCTGCCGCACATTGGCACCTACAAGAGTTTGGATAATAAACTGCAGAAGGTGGCCCTGATCGATGATGTAAGTACAAACTTCGCATCACTCTAAAAATATTTTTTTTATTAATTATTTGCGCTTTTATTTTACAGGACCTCTGCATCAATTGCGGCAAATGTTATATGACTTGTGCCGATTCGGGTTATCAGGCCATTGAATTTGATCCCAAAACCCATATACCTCACATCACGGATGATTGTACCGGTTGTACGTTGTGTGTGTCCGTGTGTCCCATTATCGATTGCATTACCATGGTACCAAAGAAAATTCCCCATGTTGTGAAACGTGGTCTGGGCGAAGAGAAGAATTTCTTTACACATGCTTTAAGTCCCATGCAATAAAGGCGGGGGTTGTTCGAGGTGCGGAACATTCTTGTGAAGGCATTTAAAATAAATATTTTTTAATTATAATATTTTTGTAATATTTCCAATTAAATATAATTATAATAACGGTAATTTTTTTAGTAGAACAAATTTGTAACATTCTTTTTATTAATAAATATTATGATGTTAACAAATAATCCGATACGCGCTGATCCGAAGTTCCGCATGATATAATATTTTTACGAAATCTTCTTAATATATAAAAGAGCTTAGTGTTAAGTGAGTGAGTGACTGACAGATCATCGCCCAGACGAAACGGCTAAAGCTAGAAACTTGAAATTTTGAGTGTGGGTTGTTGTTGATTTGTAAGCGTGAGATAAGGCTGGGTTTTTCGGAAATTCGAACTAGACGGGTACGAAAAGTATTGGCCAAGGGTAACAAAATTACCGGTATGGAATTTTGCCGCACCGAACAAAATGAAAATGATGAATGGATTGAGGATGAGGAGCAGATTACCAAATTGAAGGCGAACTTTGTTATCTCCGCCTTTGGTTCGGATCTTTATGGCACGGAGGTAATTGAAGCCATGGCTCCCGTGGAATTGGACAAATGGTCTATGCCCAAATTGAATATGAAGACATTGCAAACATCGGTTCCATAGGTGGTGATTTAGCTGCTGCGGCCGACACCACTGTGGAATCGGTTAATGATGGTCAAATTGACGCCTGGAGCATGCATTGTTATTTGGAGGGTCTGTCCATGGACAACCCCGCCTATTTGCCTTTGCTCTATACGGAAATTGATAATGTCGATTTGTCGGTGGAAATGTGCGGCATTAAATTTGAAAATCCGTTCGGTTTAGCTTCAGCAACTCTCACCACAAGTGCCGCCATGATTCGTCGGGCCTTTGAGCAAGGATGGGGTTTTGTGGTTAACAAAACCTTTGGTTTGGCTAAGGATTTGGGTTGGAAAGTGGTGTTGATGTATGAAAAAAGTTTAAGAAATCCGTACTTTTGTGTATAAAAAAGTACAAAATGGTACTAAAAATTTGGTACTATTTCCATTTAGTTGAGTGTAGTTGAGAGTTGGAATCCAGAAAAAAGGAATTAGGACTACTATTGGAGTACAGGATTGAGGTAGTTTTAAAAAATCGTACTTATGTGTACCAAAAAGTACTAAATGGTACTAAATTTTGATGCAAGTTGAATTTATGTAAACAGATAGAACTGGAGTCTTCAAATTGGGAATTAAAATGACTGTTGGTCTGTTGTAGAATTGAGGTAGTTTAGGAAATTCGTACTTACTTGGTACGAAAGGTACTATATGGTACTAAATTTAGTAAAATTTTGATTTTGCTTGAAATGATAGAGCTGAAAACCCGAAATTTGGAATTATGATTACTATTGAAGATTGAAGAGAGATCTTTGGAAATTCGTATTTATCATTATTTGGAATAATGGTTGGAATATGTGTACTAAATGGTACTATATGTAGTACAACTTGATTATGTGTGAACGTATAGAGCTGGACTCCAGAATTTTTGAATTAAAATTACTGTTGGAGTGTAGGAAATTCTTATCCAAATTTGGAGTGGCTTTACAAATGTCCGTCGGTCTGACTGGTGTGCGAAGGTATTAACCAATTACATACTGTAATATATCTTCCTTACATACATCAAATTCGAAGATGGGGGCTATCGGTTCCCTCCTTCTGGTGCATCCCAATACAAAGTAATATCACATTATTTTAAACCCAACTTTTAAACTCCAATTTCATATTGATATTCAACTAATTTTGAAAATATATTCATTTCACAAGATATTATACAATCATACATTCCACATGATACCACTTTTATTTAAATATCTGCAATACGAAAAAAGTTATAGCAACATTTAATAAGGTATGCAAATTTTTATAAACTCATCGTCCGCGTCATCTATTGGTGTCTGTAAGACGTAAAACGTTTCCCGTCATCATACAAGACCCTACATGAACGCCATCTATTGAAAGGACTGATCGGTAACAGCAGGAGTCAGAATGAAGTCCGGAAATTTTACCAACGAGTAAAACATCAAACCGACGATTTTGGTGCAGGCACATCCTCCTATAGAGATGAAGAAGGAAACCTTTTGGCAGATACACACAGCGTGTTGAGGATCTGGAAGGAGCATTTTGAAAAACTTCTGGTATCAAACAGTGGCGGTGAAGAGGATACCCTGGAAAAAAACACGAAAAACACATCGACACATTCCACCTATTCGCAAAATTAATAATGGGTCGAACATTCAGAGCGGTAACAGCCACCTTTGAACAAATTGAGAAGGAGTCTACCAAAATGGGGGTCTGGCAGTAAACGGCGAGAAGACCAAGCTGATGGTATCAAAGCGCAAGACGTCCAGTAGACTCGGATCAACTGTGGAACTTCAGAACTACAGCTTCGAGGTAGTCTAAGATTTTATATACCTTGGTACCGCCATAAATAAAACGAATGACATCGGTTTTGAAATTCGGAGAAGGATAGTGTTGGCCAACAGATGCTACTACGATCTGAGTAAGCAACTCAGAAGCAAAGCCACCTCACGCCAGACCAAACTCACACTCTACAAGAGGCGGGTAGTAACCCGTGCTATTGTATGGATCTGAAGCATGGGTACTTACGCAAGCAGATGAGACATCTCTTGGAATGTTTGAGAGCAAAATTCTCCGAAAGATCTATGGTCCGAATTGCGTTGACAGCTATTCTCGGACATCGACATTGTTACACATATTGAGCTGCAGCGACTACGTTGGCTAGGTCATGTTGTGAGAATGGATGAAGATGCCCCAGCCCAAAAGGCATACAAAAGGGAACTAGCTCATGGTTCACGCAGAAGGGGAAGACCACGAATAAGATGGAAAGATCAAGTGGAAGACAATATTGCCGAATATGGTCTTTCAAATTTGAAAAACTGCGCAAAGGACCGACTTGCCTGGAAATCTTTTTTAAGCTCGGCTAATGGAACGAAAGTTCTGTCACAAGCCAGCTAAGTAAGTAAGTATGATACCTCACAGGTTAGGAAAGATAGCCCTGAGACGCACTTAGATTTGTGGTCCCTGATATTTTTAAATGAATCCACGCCCGAAAAAAAATAACAAGATCAGTCTTTTGAAAGCCAAAAAAGTAGTTGTTCTTAATAATTCCAGGCCTTGTGGAAGCTAAGAAAAATAATTTTTAATAAAACCTTGTAATGCCTAAAAGTATGCCATATTTTTTTACAAACCAACAGCAGCGCCATTAGTAATGCAAAATTGCCGTTTTTACAGAACCCTTTTGTGTGTTATTTTCCATTTTCAGATAACAGGTGCCCAGCATCGAACAGTAGGGTGTATTTGGGATCATCGTTGAATTCAAATGCAAATAACTCAGCGACTACTCAATCGATTTACATAAATTTTGCACCAATTATATAAGAGAAAATTAGCATCATGTGAATATTCAAATATTTATACCCTACACAACTATGTTGTTGGTCCTAGACCCACCTTTAAGTATACCGATCGTCATATCTCGACTAGCTGCGTCGATCTAGACATGTGTGTCCGTCTGTCCATTATAATTTGTAAACACGATACAGGCCACAGTTATGGACCAAACTTCACGAAATTTTGCATATAGAATGGGTTCTGACCAATGAAGACCCCTATTGTTTTTGGAAAAGATCGATTAATATTTAGGGGATGAAATGGACCAAAAACTTTATTTTTGTCTGATTTTCTGGTCGCTCCAGAGGCCGCAATTATGGCCAAACACCGCGAATGGAGAAGGGGATCGGGCCAAAAAATAAGCATGCCTGTTTTGATAAAGATCGGTCAATATTTAACGGTTTAAATGGATCCTGACTTTTGTGTGAAAAATAATTTGCCCCTGTAGGACCTAGACCCAAAAAGTTGATATTATGTTCAAAATGAGTGGTTGACCTTAAAATTGATACCAATTACATGGTCGTATGTACTCAGATGTGAGAGTTACACTTAAATATTTACAGGTGCTTACGCATTCAGACATTATATAGTAACCCAAAACCACACTAGAGGGCGGAAATATAGCGCTGATCGCTTTGAAAGCCCAACATCACAACATAACCCACTGTAAAGAGAATCTGGACAAGTACAGCCCTGTCTACTGAATATTAGTGATATTTGTTGACCTTTAGTCGGGTTTCAAGAGGGTGAAAATAACGCAAAGTTAAATTTTCGTGGAAGTTGTGTAGGGTATTATATGGTCGGCCCCGTCCGACTATACTGCTCCGCTCACTGATTTTTAAATATTTTTGTCGAATGAAAATAAAGTTGACACTGTTCTTCTTCGATTTAGTGTAGCGTATTGAATTGAATCTACAACGGCGTATCCTTGATCGGTCATAAAATAATTAAAAAATGCAGTAATTTTAGGTTATGAATACAATAATGATTTTTATTTTTGTTGTGTTTTCTTTTTAATTTATTGATAATAATGATATCGATTTGTTCTTTAAATTAGTTCCACATGTAATTGGTTGGTTTTCTTGTTGTTGTTTTTTATTTAATTAAATATTATAGATTTTAGGTTGACGATTTTTTTAGCATCTTTTATTATTTTTTTATATATAAAAAATTAAATTAAAAAATAAATGAAAGCAAATAAAATAAAACCTATGGCAACATTTGCATAAAATAATAAAATTATAAAAAAAAGTATTTAATAAGACATTGCAAATAAATAATAAATGTTGAAAAAAAATTATGATTATGAAAATAGTTAAAAATAAATAAATAATGTGTGTAATATTCCTGTGAATGAAGAATGATTTTTTATATAATTATTATTTTTTTTTTATAAAACTCATACTTGTTATTTATTTTTTTCATATATTACAATATTAGGAAATTGTTTATATATTTTTATTAAAAAATATATTTATTTAAATTTTTTTTGTTCTTTTCATATATGACCTAAAATAAAGTGCATATAATATTGATAGAGATAGATAGAATTAG